CCCCCCCCCCCCCCCCCGAGAGAGAGAGAGAGCGAGAGAGGGGCTCGTTGGTGAAACTCACGTAAGACAGAGTTTCCCACCGACACTCAGCTCACAAAGCTCCCTCTGGCCTTCGGCTCAAGAGCCTCCAACGAGGCCAGGGTTGGCAGAGCAGCAGCCCCCAAGCCTCACTCCCCCAGAGGGAGGGGGATGGGATGGGGAACCGCCCTCCCGGGGGAGCCCAGACACTCACCTCCCTCCTGGTCACGATCCCCACCACTTTTCCCAGCTGGGTGACAAAAGCCCGCTGCAGGTTCAGCAGCTCAAAGAGGTGGTGGGCCTACAGGAGAGAGAACGGGCTCAACGTTCCTTCCCCAAGGGGGGAAGAGGCCCTCGGAAGGTCCTTGCCAGACATCGATGGTCCCCCCATTGGAAAGCTTGCCCTGGTCCTGTCCCACAGCTCTACAGAGGTGGCAGCTCCCTGCCTCCTCCTCTGCTGCCATGGCGCCTCAGCAGAGGAATGAGCCCCACTTCAGCCTCGCGGGTGACGCCATCAGACCGGGGCAACCGGTGCAGCGCTCAACCGTCCCACCTACCTGGTGCAGGGATGTCCACGGGGAGAGCTGCAGGGTCACGGGGCTGATGGTGCAGCCTTCTCCCAAAGTCCGGCCCGAGGGAGGCTGGAAGGGAGAAGCGCAGCGGTGGGCCCAGGGTGCAGCGAGAGAGGCGGGACCCCCCGCAGGTGGGCGGAGAACGCAGGGCCCTCCTGGAGAGCACGTTCTCTGCTCTTGCCAGAGGTCACCCTCTCTGACCCACCTCTTCCCCCTGCTCTTTCTGGGGCAGGCTGGCATCCTCACGGGTCTGGAGAAACTGGACGAGGTTGGCGCGCTGGATCACCCCCAGCAGCATCCGAGACTCTGTGGGAGAAAGGCAGCAGAGGGAGGGTGGGCTGAGCCCTGGGGCCCTCCCCCCAAACGGCCTCTGCCTTAGGGGCCAGGGTTCCCTGGAATCGTTTCCCCCACTGGTGCAGGGGTTGGGGGTGCTCCTGCTTGTGAAGACCCTCAGAAAGCAGTGCCCAGAACCCCCGCCAGACTGGCCTCCCCGTGGGACCCCCCCGCTGCTTTCGTAAAACTGCAGTACCAGCATTGTCTACCACGGGGTATTCCTGGGCGTCCGTCGTGGTGACCGCCTGGAGGATGTCATGAAAGGTGGCTTCCTGGGCCAGGATGACAAAATCGGTGTCCATGAACTCTTGCGTGGTGACCGTGTAGGATCTGGAAGGGAAACGGCGCTCACCAGACCAAAGGCTTTGTTGGGGCAGAACCCGGGCAGCAGGCAGGCCGGAGCGCTTGCGCTTCCGAAGCAAGGCCAGGCCAGAGGTGCTCTAGGCACGCGCAGAGTGCCCTGTTAACGGGCAGAATCCAAAGGCGGCCCTTCCAGCAGGCACTGAGGGAGGGCAGCTCACCCGATGTGCCTGCTCCGGATGCGGGGCAGGTACGGGAGCTTCTTGACAATGATGGTGCCGTCGTAGAAAGAGGGCTGGAACTTCTGGGCAATGGCGTTGGCGACCAGGACGGCCAGGAGCACAGGCAGGATGTGGGCGATCTGCCCTGTCATCTCGAACGCCAGCAGGGCGGTGGAGAGGCTGTGGGTGACCGAGCCGGAGAAGGCAGCTGCCCCTGTGGGGAAGAGCAGAGGGGTGGGGTGG